GGTTCAATATTTGAAAATCAGTGAATGTACTTTACCCTGCTAGTCCAAAGAAAGAATCATATGATCATATCAATTGAAGCAGAAAAAGCATTTGACAAAATTCAACGTTAGTTCATGGTAAAAACACAGACAAAACTAGGAACAGAAGGAAACTTACTCAACCTGACAAAAGGCATCTACAAAAAACCTACAGGGAACATCATAGTTAATGGTGAAGAATGGAATGCTTTGACCCTAAGATCCAAAATGAGGGAAAGCTGTCTGTTCTCACTTACATTCTACATCATACTGGAAGACCTAGCCACTGCAGTAAGTCAAGAAAAATAACAGATTGGAAAAGAAGGAATAAAACTGTCCCTTTTTTCAGATCACATGGCTATCCATATAGAAAATTCCATGGAATATATCAAAAAGCTATATAATAAATAGTTTAGCCAGACTGCAGGATATAAGATCAACACACAAAATCAGTGAAATGCTAGCAGTGAAATGAAATGACCAAAACAGTATCATTCATAATAGTTCCAAAGAAGAAGAGAAAAGTACTTAGGTATAAATCTAATAATAAAACATGTAGGTGGGACTTCCCTTGTGCTCACTGGTTAAGAATCTGCCTGCCAATGCAGGAGACATGGTTTGCCTGGGACCAGGAAGATCCCACATGCCGCATGCCAACTAAACCCGTGTGCCACAACTGCTGAAGCCTGTGCGCCCCAGAGCCCGTGCGCCCCAGAGCCCGTGCTCTGCAACCCGAGAAGCCACCGCAAGGAGAAGACTGAAGACTGCAACCAGACAGTAGTCCCCACTTACTACAGCTAAAGAAAGCCCAGGCACAGCAACGAAGACCCAGCCAGCCAAAAACAAATTTTTTAAAAAATGTAGGATCTGTATGTGGAAAAATTACAAAATGCTAATGAAGAAATAACAACCTAGTAAATGGAAAGAAATACCCTGTTTGTGGATTAGAAGACCTAATATAGTTAAGATGTCAATTCTCTCCAACAGATCTATGGATTTACTGTAATTCTAATCACAGCCTCCGCAGGATCTTCTGTTAGATACAGACTGATTCTAGAAGACATATGGTAAGGTAAAAAAAAAACACTAAACACGACAGTTCTGTAAAAGAAGAACAAAGCTGGAGGACTCGCACCCGATTTTAAGAATTACTATAAAGCTACAGTATTCATGACTATAGACAGATGAGTGGAACAGAAGATAGAGTCCAGAAATAGACCCATACCAACATGACTCATCAATTTTTAACAAAAAAATGTGAAGGTGAACTTCCCTGGTGGTCCAGTGGCTGGGACTCTGTGCTAACAGTGCAGGGGGCCTGAGTTCGATCCCTGGTCGGGGAACTGGATCCCACATTCTGCAACTGAAAGATCCTGCATGCCATAGCTAAGACCTGATGCAGCCAAATATATATATATATTTAATGTGAAGGTATTTCAGTGGAAAAAGGATAGTCTTCAATAAATGGAATTAAAACAACTGGATGTCCATATGCAAAAATAAATGAACCTCGACCTAAAACTCATTAAAAAGTCGATTTAAAGTGGATCATAATCTAAATGTAAAGCAGTAAAACTGTTAGAAGAAAACATGGGGAAAAAAAACCCAAAAAACTATGTCCTGGACTTAAGGCAAAAAGCTTCTAGATGTGACAGTAAAAGCATGCTCCACAAGAGCATGAAGTAGACTTCATCAAAATTAAAACTTGAGAAAAACACTGTTCAGAGAATGAGAAGACAAGCTATGGAGTGGGAGAAAATATTTGCAAATCATGTATCTGACAAAGAATTTGTATCCAGGATATCTAAAGACCTCTCAAAATGAACAAGAAAACAAACACCCCAAACAACTAAAGAGAATATACTGTTGGCAAATAACATGAAAAAAGGTTCACCATTTAGTCAGTGGGGAAATTCTGGCACATACCTATTAGAATGGCTAAACTTTAAAACTCCTCTAACACTAATAAGTGTGAGTGTGAATATGGAGCAACTGGAATCTTCATACATTGCTGATGGGGATGTAGAAAGGCATCTCAAGGGCATGATTATACTAAGGGAAAGACACAGGTCTCAAGGGCATTACACTAAGGGGAAGAAGCCAGACTCAAGGCTATGTCCTTTAAAAATTAAGGTGAGTGACTCCGTTTATATGATGCCATTTACATGACATTCTGAAGAGATGAAACGGTGAAAAGATGAGGGGTTAGGGGCGGGAAAGAGGTGACAGCAGAGTGCAACAAGGGAGGTTTATTGGATCCTTGGCTCTCTGGCATCACTGTGGTGGCCGCAGGAGTCGACACGTGTTCAGAACAGTACGCCCAAAAAGAGTTAAAACATAATAGGACCTAAATGATTTATAAAAGGTAAAACCTTTGTATTCTTCAAAAAAGTATAGTCTTAGTATAGTTTTTCTGCTGATAATGATGTAAAAGTGAATATGATGATCTGATTAAAATGAAAAGACTTCCTTCATCCCCTCCCTGGAAGCAGGAACTTAGTGTTGTAACTGCTATTCAGAAGCGTGTGACACCAGTTTCCTTTGCCCTGTATGGTTGTGCTCAGCCTGTTGAGGACAGAAGCACCAGAAATTTGTATTTTCTGAATTCCCTTCCCTTGGTCTGTATGTATCTCCTTAAACTCTTCCCTGTGAAGAACTGAAAATATCTGTGGACCAGTTTTCCTTCCCTTTTTTGTGTGTGTGAGGTATGTTTCTTTGACACTGTATTTAAATTCACTGCTTTATCCTATTAGATAACTCCAGGTGGTACAGATTTTTTCATGGCTTTCCTCATTAAAAAAAAATGTGCACATGTTTTTAAATATACTTTTTAATTTTCAATCACTGTTATTTTCCGTGTGTGTGTGTGCTCTAGGAACATAGAACATAGGTTTCTTGACTGAAGGACTCTCCTTTTTCTCTGTGGCTGGGGAGACCTTCTCATCCTATGTGGAACTTTGTCCTGTTTTCTTTGCTGCTTGTGGAGTTAGCCCCCTGGGGTTTATAGTATGAGAGGCTGTGCTGGTTCTACTGAACTGGCCCGAGTCCCACTAGTGGAACTCTGATCAGCAAGTCCCTCCCCCACCCTCCGCCCCCCAGTATATCCTCCTTTCATTCCCCGATTACATCAAAGCTTGTGCATACCAAAAAAACAAAACCAACTGTTCTGGGGGTCTGGAATGACTCCTGTCCATTTTGCCTTTCCATAGGAGGCCCTATTCTGATTGAGTAAATGGTCTGTAATCCAGTAGATCAGATTCTGCTGTATCAGCTTTTTTTAAAATTCCAATGTAATATTGAATTAGTGAAGGTGATGGAATTCCAGTTGAGCTAGTTCAAATCCTAAAAGATGATGCTGTGCAAGTGCTGCACTCAATATGCCAGCAAATTTGGAAAACTCAGCAGTGGCCATAGGACTGGAAGAGGTCAGTTTTCATTCCAATCCCAAAGAAAGGCAATGCCAAAGGATGCTCAAACTACTGCACAATTGCACTTATCTCACACGCTAGTAAAGTAATGCTCAAAATTCTCCAAGCCAGGCTTCAGCAATATGTGAACCATGAACTTCCAGATGTTCAAGCTGGTTTTAGAAAAGGCAGAGGAACCAGAGATCAAATTGCCAACATTCATTGGATCATTGAAAAAGCAAGAGAGTTCCAGAAAAACATCTATTTCTGCTTTGTTGATTATACCAAAGCCTTTGACTGTGTGGATCACAAATTGTGGAAAATTCTGAAAGAGATGGGAATACCAGACCACCTGACCTGCCTCTTGAGAAATCTGTATGAAGGTCAGGAAGCAACAGTTAGAACTGGATATGGAACAACAGACTGGTTCCATATTAGGAAAGGAGTACATCAAGGCTGTATATTGTTACCCTGCTTATTTAACATATGCAGAGTACATCATGAGAAATGCTGAGCTGGATGAAGCACAAGCTGGAATTAAGATTGCCGGGAGAAATATCAATAGCCTCAGATATGCAGACGACAGCACTCTTATGGCAGAAAGTGAAGAAGAACTAAAGAGCCTCTTGATGAAAGTGAAAGAGGATAGTGAAAAAGTTGGCTTAAAGCTCAACATTCAGAAAACTAAGCTCATGGCATCCAGTCCCATCACTTTATGGCAATAGATAGGGAAACAGTGCAAACAGTGGCTGACTATTTTTTGGGGCTCCAAAATCACTGCAGATGGTGATTGCAGCCATGAAATTAAAAGACACTTACTCCTTGGAAGAAAAGTTATGACCAACCTCAATAGCATATTAAAAAGCAGAGACATTACTTTGCCAATAAAGGTTCGTCTAGTCAAGGCTATGGTTTTTCCATTAGTTATGTATGGATGTGAGAGTTGGACTATAAAGAAAGCTGAGTGCTGAAGAATTGATGCTTTTGATCTGTGGTGGTGGAGAAGACTCTTGAGAGTTCCTTGGACTGCAAGGAGATCCAACCAGTCCATCATAAAGGAGATCAGTCCTGAGTGTTCATTGGAAGGACAGATGTTGAAGCTGAAACTTCCGTACTTTGGCCACCTGATGTGAAGAGCTGACTCATTTGAAAAGACCCTGATGCTAGGAAAGATTGAGGGCAGGAGGAGAAGGGGACGACAGAGGATGAGATGGCTGGATGGCATCACCAACTTGATGGACATGAGTCTGGGTAAACTCCGGGAGTTGGTGATGGACAGGGAGGCTTGGCGTGCTGTGGTCCATGGGGTTACAAAGAGTCGGACACGACTGAGCGACTGAACTGAACTGAATATTGAAAATCCTAGTACCTTACATGCTGAAGGAGAGTATATGATTGTTCATATGGTTGAACAATAATTGTTAGCTTTTAAACAGGAATTTGATAGAATGTGAAAAAGTTCTTGGGTATATAAGACTCAGTTTTACTTTTCAGTGGAGCTTATTTTGATATTTGATATTCTGATTATATCTTTCATTATTACAACAGTTAAAAAAAAATTTCCCCCTTTTTTAGGCAGTCATTATTTGTATCAAAAACAAAGAATTTGAAAAGGCTTCAAAAATTTTGAAAAAACATATGTCCAAGGACCCTACAACTCAGGTAAATTTGATATACTTTTGCTTACATTACCTATATCCAGCTCATTGCTTTTTGTGGGGAAACAGGGAAGGGGTTCTCTGTCAGGAATATTAATATTCAGTACCATGAACATGTCTTTTATATCTAGGATAACTTACTGTTAGAATGGCTTTTCAAAAATGTGAAAAACTTACAGAAATCATTTACTTGCCCATTTCTGCCAGGTGTGTAACAAAACTCTAGTGCTCAGTACCGGTACAAACACATCTGACTTTATTTATATAAATGCTGATCCTACAGACTTGAGAATCTGCCTTACTGAGGACTCAATGCCTCTGTTTTCTGGTGTCAAAAACTCTGCTGGTACCCTGCTCTTTTTTTTATATATAAATTAAATTTTATTTTTGAAAAGCTAATATATGTATATAATACAACATTCATAAATACAACAAAATAGCTTAGTGAAAATTCTATCAACTCTGACTTGGCTATCTCATTCCTCTCCTTAGAGGCAGCCAATGCTTTTTTCTCCTTAAGAGATTCTGTGCATATGCAGGCAAGTAAGTGTGCATGTGTGTATGTACAGAAACACACATGTATCCAGTCTTCTGTTCTTCCAATATACATATGTGAGCGTATTCTACACACTTAACTTGACCATTAAATTGCTACTTTCACTTAATGTATCTTGGAGATCTTTTTATATTAGTACATAGGGAACTTTTCATCTGTTTTGGTTTTCTTTTTTGAAAGTTTAAAAATCTTTATATGTAAAAGTAGAAAAATACTTTGGATCCTAAGTTCATTATCTTTTTCACCACCACCCCCTTTTGTATAGCTACATAGTAACCAACTGTGACTGGTCAGTAATTTTTGACCTGTTCTACACTGTGGTATGCTTCCTTTTCCCCCAGTGCTATTCATTGATGATACTGAGAAAGTTCTGATAGTGTTGTCTTAACTCATCATCACTGAATCTTTACTGGAGTTTTCCTTTCTCATATTTCAACTTTTGGTCCTTTGTGTAGAAGCTGAGAAATGACCTCCTAAACATTATCCGTGAAAAGAACCTGGCCCACCCTGTGATCCAGAACTTCTCCTATGAGACCTTCCAGCAGAAGATGCTGCGCTTCCTGGAGAGTCACCTGGATGACGCAGAGCCCTACCTCCTCACGGTGGGGCTTGGAAACATTGGTCATCCTAAGTTTCAAAGAAAACCAAGTCTGGCTTTTGCATGTGACCCCAAAGGTCTATGTGGGATTCAGAAACTAGATTAGGGATGAGGCTGAAAGGATAGAAGAGGAGACACAAAGTAAAATCACTTAATTTGTTGTCCAAAATAACTGTCTGGAATTCTTGCAACATCAAGATCCTTTTAGCACCACTCAGATTGAGTTCTCCTTTAGTGTAGAAAACTATGAGCCATTGTGTGGGGAAGGAAAAAATAAATCTGAGACAATTCTTTTAAGTTCTCTCCCTTTTAATGTCCTCCTATAGTCTATGCCTAAATTGGGTTTGTAAGTGAAAGTGCTTGCATATTGAATATGTTCATGGTAAAAGAAGCAGAGAGTTAATGAAATTCTGTGACTTCCTCTTCTTGACGGTATTTTTCCTTTCTCAGATGGCCAAAAAGGCTTTGAAATCTGAGTCCTCCACCTCAGCCACAGTGAAAGAACCACAACCTCAGCCAGCACCAGAGCCTGTGGAAAAGCCACTCAGAGAACCTGCCAGGTAAGAGAGATGCACTTTTGTGATGTTGGGATGAAACACAGAGGTACGTGGAAGCATAGTCATCATCTTAGAGCAGAGTCAGTCAGTTCTTCCTGGTGATCTGACCTAACATGTTACTGGGTTACTCAAGGAAGGCACTGTGGGTTTCACACAGCACACCCTGGGAAAATGGGAATATTGAAAACAGGATGTTAGGTCTTTGGCAGAAGTTCCTGACTGGCTGTTTATTCCTCAAAGGCTCCTTCCTTCTGTTTCTCTGTCTTTGCCTCAGTACTTCCCTGTTGATATGTTATCTCTTAACACAGTGTTCAGACTTGTGACTCAGATTCCCGAGACCAGCTAACAGAGCAGAGGTCTCTGAGGGCGCTGCAGGAGACGTAAAGGAGCACAGCGGGTCCAGGATAATACAGCTGAGAGCGCAGGACTGGGGCCCGGCTCTGTGTGCTTGTTGCCGTGTTCACGGTCCAGGCCTCAGTTCAAAATTTTATGTGAGATGTCCAAAAAATATTTTTTGAGATTTCTCACATAAAAATTTGAACTGAAGTTTTTGAATGTTGGTGGTTAGTCCAATTAAGGGGGCAAAAAAAAAAGGTTGAACAAGACACATATGCCAGCTAGGATTGGCATGCAGGCCGCCAGTTTGCCTTCTCTTTAGAGTGTTTACTTAAAACACATGAGCTATTCCAAATGCTCGATGAACTTTATTTTGAAAAGGCAGTTTCTCATTGTTCCAAGACTGGCATGCTTCTCACTGAGAATTCTCAAGATCCCATTTATAAGTGTACTGTAGAAGAAAGAGGGCGGAATTGAGACCACTCTTACTAGTCTTACATGAGGGTTGGACTGGGACAGCTGTAAGAAGAGTTTACACTTGAAGGTGAGATTGCTGGATTATCAGTTGGTCATCTAGATGGACTTGTACCTGTTAGACATTCTGCAGAGCTCTTGCGTTAAAGGAAAGCATTGCTTTAGTCCATGCAGAGTAATGAATTAGCACATCCGCTGAAGAGGCCTCTCGGAGGGATTGTCATTGGCCCTGGTTCCTTTTAGATTCTCTTGAAGTTTAAGCTCCATAATTCAATTTACATATCATATTTAAAACCTCTGCTTAACACTTAGAAATGGAAGTTCTTATAAATAAAGGCTGTATCATGCACTCTGTCTTTTTTTAAATGAAGAGTTCTCAACCTGAGTCTATAATTTGAAGCTTCACAGTTTGAAAAAGTTGTGGCTGCTTAGATGGGCCTCAGCAGTGGTCAAACTGATTTCTCTGTGTTTGCATTGTTTGTAGGCAGCTACAGAGCACACCAACCACCATTGGGATTAGGACTCTGAAAGCAGCTTTCAAGACTCTGTCCAGTGCACAAGATTCTGAGGCAGCCTTCTCAAAACTGGACCAGAAGGATATGGTCTTTCCTAATAAAGTGTGCCCGCCATCACCAGCCCTCAAAAACAAGAGAACAAGAAAAGATGATAACGAAAGTTCTGCCCCCGCTGAGGGTGAGGGTGGCTCTGAACTGCAGCCCAAGACCAAGCGCATGACAATAAGCAGACTGGTTTTGGAGGAGGACAGCCAGAGTACTGAGCCAAGCCCAGGCCTCGACTCTTCCCAGGAGGTCACACCGGCTTCACCATCCAAGCCCACTGTCCTCAACCAACCCCTCCCTGGGGAGAAGAATCCCAAGTATGAAGACCTTCTTTGTAGAAGTTTGGGGGCTGGTTGGTGGTCCTGGTTAGGCCTGGTATTGCTTCCATGAATGAAGTAACTTTCAGCTACGTTACTCACCACCAAGGCTTGCTCAGACTGCTAGAGTGTGACTCAGGGTGGGGAGGGACGTCATAGCCATTCTGCCAGTTCTGAAGGCCTGTGCTGGGCTTCCAGGCATTGCACTAGGTGGGAATGGAAGGGTGTCAGAGCCTCCTGCTCACCACTGCTTCCATTTTTAGCGAACTGCTGAGTGCCTTGACTACTAAATAGTAGTCTTCTTACAAGAAGTTTGTTTGAATTGGGCCACATTATACTCTGATCCTTAAAAGAGATTTATGAATATTTATAGTTTTGCATGTTCAATGGACATTTGAAACTTGGCAAATTCAGTAAATACTAATCTCTCACATTCTGCTAGGCTTTGTGGGGCAGTGGTTAGAGTGCTTTCATTTCGCTCCACTTCATGACCCCAAGCTGGCTTCCAGTTTTGCTACCTTTGTGCCCTCTCATGGATCCTTCCTTTAGGCTGACTGGTCTGCTTGCTTCTTTAGCCCTCTTTCTGTCACTGTGCTCTTCTTGCCACCTCCCATTCCCCACGTGTGGACCTTCATTCCTCCACCATCGCCTGTCAGAATCCCATCTGTCTTTCAAAGGGAAGAGAAGCTGATGTTAACTGAATACTTTCTGTGGGCCAAGCACTTTCAATTATTATCTTAATATCTACACTCTTCACTCTGAGTGATTTATTAGCTCCATTTTATAGGTGAGGAAGTTTCAGAAACATTACTAACTTAAGTCATATAGCTAAAAAGTGGCAAAACTGGGCTTTGGGATTTTTAAATCCTAGTTAGTCTTGACACAAAAACCCATGTACACCAAGCTGCCTTGCCTCCATAAATTTCCCCTGGTCACCCTGCTATAAGTGATCACCTCACTGATCCCCCAAGGTCATTGCCATCTCTACTTGCGCACTCTGTTGTAGTTGTTTGGGGACCTATGCCCTAGCTTGCTTGTGCTAGGTAGTCTGTGGGGCTGTGGCATCTGATAAGTGATTTATACTCGGGCACAGATCTGCACTATATACCACTATCTGCATTTGGAAGTGAGTTAGTCATTGGCGGGGCAAGCTAAGTAACACACAATTATTCTCATTTGGTACCTGATCTCAGCCTCTCACAGCAATTCTATGAAGTATAGGTGTTGCTCCCATGAACAGATGGGGAAACTGGAAAGAGTATGATTACAGTGGCTTTATAAATGGAAGGATGTGTCAAGGGTATGAGGTATGGGTACTCTAAAGCAGAGGTTGGCAAATTATGGCCTCTTGGCTAAAGTCCACCTGTTGCCTGTTTTTGTAAATAAAGTTTTATTGGAACAGCCACACTTATGAATTATGTATTCTCTGTGGCTGCTACCTTGAGTTGAGCAGTTGCAACAAAGACAGTAAGGCCTGCAAGGCTTAAGATACTAAATACGTTTTATAGAAAAAAGGGATTCCCTGACTCTGGTTCTAGAAGAAGCTTATGTGAGGTGCCCTGGGAGCTGCAGGGAAGAAGAGTTGACCTGGGCAGCAGAGTTGTGGGTGGGGCAACCTTGCAGAGGGGTTAGCCTTGGAGAATGAGTAGGAAGTCATCCAGCATATTGGGAGGTGTGGGGTTCTGGGCAGTGGGAACCTCTTACAGCTCAAGAAAGCCTGGTATGCTCTGGAAACTGTCGTGCAGTCTGTATGGCAGGAGAATACAGTGCACAGAGAGGATGAAGGGAGAAAGGCCTGGAAGGTAGATGGGCCGGATTTTGAGCTCCTATTACGTTCTATCAGGCAGAGGTTTTCAGGCGGGGCTTCACATCAATTACCTGCAGTGTTGGGCTCCTGACTACGGAATGAGAAGGCATGGGGAGTGCTCTAATCTGCTTTGCTAACTGTGCCCCAGATAAACCTAATACACCTAATCTGAAAGCCTGAGCAGACATCACTGACAGCTTTTGTACTGACACTGAGGGAAAGGAGAGGAGGGTGGTGGGGCCTGCTGCCTGGTGAGCAGTCAGGACCCAGGGGAAGCTGGGCCAGTGGAATCAGAAGCAGAGAAGGCAGGCTTAAGGTCTGTCACCTTGATGGGGCCACGACTACTAGGCTTTCATATCCCTCATGGCACTTGGCACAGAACTAGTGCTTAAGAGGTATTTTATTAACCAAACAAAGTAACAGTTCTTGGTTCTTGGAATTTAAGGGGCCACCAGCAAAACTTCTATAAAAGGGTAGGAAAGGAAACAATTTAGCCTTTGTGGGCCACTTGTGTCTCTGTTACATGTTCTGTTTTGTTTTTTTACCGCCCTTTGAAAAATATCAAAACCATTCTTAGTTCAAGGGCTGTACAAAAACCAGCAGCCACAGGCTGTAGTCTGCCAACCCCTCTAAGACCATTAAGTTGTTCTAACTTCACCACTTAGGAGCGCAGTGAGCCAGGAGTCTGCACAGCCAGCTAGCAGTCAAGATGAGAACCAGGTCTGAGCCCCTTCTACAACATGAGAAGTTAGGAAATACTGAAATGTTTATACATGTAATAAATGCTGAGTTCAGAGGAGGCGCAGAAAGTTACCAAAGTGATCTGCAAAGACAGTCTACAGGAAGAGTGACCAGCCACTTAGGTGAAAATGACGGACCCAGAGGTAAAAACCAGTTTTATCCCAGGACTTGGATAAATTGATGAAAAACTTAAACTCTGATCCTGACTTTTATTTAGCTAACATCCTGAAATGGGTAAACCTCATATAATTTTTACTTTGTCTCAAATCAGTTATTCTTAGAAATATCCTTTTGGAGGTTATGACCTAATTTAAAAACAAAAGAGTCCACTATTTGTCTCAGTCAGTTAAGTAACTGTATAGAAAACTTATGAAATTTTTTTTCAAGTGTATGCATTTATTAAGCAAATTGTTTTCACTACTCATTTGAAAAATACTGACAGGCTTTGCAGCAAAATTTCATAGTGGGAAAGAAGACAGCAGTTTGTACTCTCGTCAGGTTTTTCAGATGATTTTGTTCTATATAAATTCTTCAAAACTCAGTTCAGCTACTTTCCATGTTTGTTTTGTAAAGGATGTTATAATTCTGAGGTCGGATTTGTGCTATGTTTGGTAAGACTGAATATAATTTTCATTTATTTAGCAACTTGGATTATTTTTTAGTTTTGGAACTGTTTTTGGTTGCACCTAGGTACTAAAAATTTCATGTTCACAGGGAGGGTTCTTGTTTGCTTACTATTTTAATTTTTGATAGTATAATTCCTTTATGGCTCTTTGATAATCCAATTGTTAGCTTAGTTAATCTCTCTCCAGCTTCTGTTAGGGTATGTGTTACGGTGCAAGGTGTTTGGGGTAGACAGATGAGGATAATGGCCTCTGATGTCAAGGTGCTTATGGTTACGGGTATGTCGTGAAACGGTTGTGTGATACAGTGGAAGCAGAACAGCAGGGGATTTGTGTGTGTTGGGCAGTCTTCACTGAGAATGACGGCCTTGAAAGACTTCACTTGGAAGGGAAGGGAATCCCAAGCAGAGAGAACAGTAAATAGAGAGGCAGGAAAGCAGAGCTCATAGGAGGAAGGAGGGTGAGGCTGTCCTGTTTGTGTGGGTGTGTGGGTGGTGTGTGGCAGGAGTAGTTGGTGGGGAGAGGAGGAACTGATGAAAAATTGATGTGCCAGACTGGATGATCTTGGCTCCCCTCTATGGGCATTTAGTCTTAACTGTTTACACAGTGAGAAGCCATCACTGAATAGAGGAGGGATCTGTAAGTTTAGGATGACTGTTCAGGTGGGTTTGGAAGGAGAAGGGGCTGGAGGGGAGAGATTCCAATTAAGAGGCTAGTGTGATACTGATGAAAGGTACTGGACGATGGGCTTGGCTTGAGGAATGGGGAGGAAAAGGAGAACACTCCAGAGATAGGAACAAAGCATCTCTATGACAGAGGGGAAGGAATTTGCAGCTTCTAGGTTAGAATAACGCTGAAATCTTTATGAGTCCAAACCAACCAAACAAAAAGCCCCAGGAAAATGAACAGGTTGTTGAAAGGGGATGGTGATGTATTCAGTGCTGAGTTTGGGATGACTTTGTTTTACACTTTGTCCTCTCATTGATCTTCCCTCAGAGTACCCAAAGGCAAGTGGAACAGCTCTAATGGGGTTGAAGAAAAAGAAACTTGGGTGGAAGAGGACGAACTGTTTCAAGTTCAGGGTAAGCCAGAAGATTCTCACTGGTTTCTCTCCTTGACACTTGCTTAAGTATAGATGCATGCTACTGACACATCAATGTTCCAGAAACTGCTTGTCTCCAAAATAGAAAAAAGTTTAAAAGTTCCACATTGTGATTCATGAGGAATCCATTTTATGTCTTTTTTTTTCCATTAAACAATGGAGACTATCAAAGCAACACTTAACAGGTAAAGAAAATTCTTGGTTTGGTTTAATAAATCCTGTATTTAATGGTAGTTGATATTCTTCCCAAAGTATTTTAATTAGAAAAGGTAGAAGTGGTCATTCCCTACATTTCTTATTTAACTAAATGGTCTCTTACCAGTTTCTGTATAGTAAATGTTTTTTTTTTCCAAGATGAGAAATGTTACTTTCCTTTAATGAATACTAAGCTTCATTGCTTTTGCATTAGGATCCCCCCGCCACATACTTTGCACTCTAATGAAAATATCTACATGCTAAACCTTAGTCTTGCAGATGCTGAAGACTTCTGTAACACAGCAGCAACCAGTAATCTTTTGCCAGTCTCAAAGGTTTTGTCCTTAAGAATTACCTTTTGTTGGCAAAAACATAGTTGGCAAAATCAAGGTTATACAGAAGATCGGAGAAATAACGATGAATAAAAGTGGCATTAAATATGTTTAAAACAGGATATAAAAGTTCTAGAAAACATCCACTTCTGATGCAGTCCAGATTTGTCAGTTTCAGAAATCTGCTTCTACTATATATAGTAGGAAATACTTCATAATTTAAAAATAATCTGCTCCTATAAGTACCCCTTCTCCTGTGTCACCCTCCTTCATTCTTTAGGAAGCATTCCTAGGACAGTGATGTATGCTAAGGCATACACTGCAGCAGGTTCCACGTTTATGCAGCTTTGCCTTACCCAGCTTTGTAACTGGCTCTTGTTGGCCTGAGATGGCATGTTCATTACACTGTATACCCTCCTGTAGCCCTCTGGTCCTTTAAAAAATTACCTTGGACCTTGTTTTATGAAGCCTGACCTATATCCATAATGATGAAAAGGTAGAATCTGAATAGATCTCACATGGTCTGTTGGAGTGGGAAGCAATAATTATTACCCCATTCCTTTTGTTTGAGGAATTGAGCCAAATTTTACTTACATCTAGTATTTTGGAAATTCAAAAACAATAAAACTGGATTATTTCAAAGCAGTGGTTAACAAGGAGTTAATAGAAATTATATATATACACACACATACACTTATATATAGGTATATGTATATACACAAAAAGTTAAGTTTAGAAAATTATATTGGTTTTACTAAAGAGCCTGAAATCCTGATCAACATTTACTGAATGCCTGTTTGTTAAGTATTTGCTTTGTACAGATTCTCATGGACTGAAATGATTGGTATCTTGCAAGCAGAGGACAAAAACAAATTATCCTTTAGTGATATCCTTTATTCTCTCAGAGTTTGTAAAATCTGAATCAAGTTTTCCCTTTGGGGATGTTCTGTGTCTTTTTCTTGTGGGTTGTCCTGAGAAAGGTAAGCTCTGACATGAGTCTGCTTCTAATGTTTTCCAGCAGCACCAGATGAAGAGAGTGCAACCAATACAACAAAAAAGCAGGTAATTTTTTAAACTGTCTTTTCTAATCTTTTCTGGTTGTACGGGTAGAAGAGAGGTAAAATAAGTACCCACATTTCACAGGCATAGACTACCCATGCACCTGGTAAAAAATTTTTTTGTAATTTTCAGATAATCCAAACTCAGTAATAGTTACCCTTTGGAAGAAAAATCTAGGTCAGAACGCTGACACATTTCCCAACCATGAATACATGTTTAAAGTTCTGAATGCAGAAATGATTATTAGTTGAGGACAAAACAGTAAGACACTGAAAATTAGTAAATGTTCAAATCCATGGTGTTAAAACATGATACAGATTATAAATTAAGAGTATAAATCCTTCCTTTGGGTTCAGATTATTCTCTTAGACCGCTTCACTATATGAAAATGTAAGTGGAGAGAACAGGTGGTGATAAATCCTTTGCTTCTTTTTTTTTTTCTTGCAGAAGTGGACTGTAGAGGAAAGCGAGTGGGTCAAGGCTGGAGTGCAGAAGTATGGAGAAGGAAACTGGGCTGCCATTTCTAAAAACTACCCGTTTGTTAACCGAACAGCTGTGATGATTAAGGATCGCTGGCGGACCATGAAAAGACTTGGCATGAACTGAAACAGGCTTTCATTTCCACAGAATTCACAGGAGCATGGTTCCTAATAATAGCCCCTGGTAGTCTGCTGTTTCTTTCAAAAGCTGGGCTGGGATGAGAATTTTGGGCATCCTCCTCTCATGTGGGGGAGGTCCCGGTTCCACTTCATCACAGTTGGAGATCATGGAGCTGAGAAACAAAGCCAAGTCCACCCCATGTCCTTGGCAGAGATGACAGGCACATAGCTTGTACAGTGCCAGAATACCATTAGTATTTCCCTTCTTTAGTGGTTTGCTTGAATTTAAATCCCTGGTAATCAGTAGAACCTTCTCCTAGGAAATGGTGGAGTCTGTTAGGAGCCACTTTTGATTCCACGTACCTGTTAAAACCAGCAACATGAGCATTATTTGGAGTGAACTTCTTCCAGGTAAAGCTTTGGCCTTCTGATGCAAATGCAAAGGAGCTTCAGCTGTTGTGAGCCCAGGTTGATGAGAGACCAGTCCTGGTGGAGTCAGAGTCCCTTTAAACATTGTTCAGCCGATTGTGATGTCGACACCTAGAAACGTGACTGCCTTGGCATTTGCTCTATTTGCTGGCCTCCGTAGGCAGGTGTAACCTCTACTTCTCACGTGGTGGAACCAGTGTGTTTTTTGGTAAAATGGTGATTGTAGATAAGCTTAGCCCCTGGCCCCATCCACTCTTCCCAGTTCCCTTCTTTATGCTGGACTTTTAAAGCTTAAGAAAATCCTGATTAAGTATAAATGCCTAATTCCATTCTTTGTGAAATGGTTGCTTCCACCTGGTTCCCTAATTGTGCTGTGTTAGTGTCTTGCACTGGAATTCAACATTCCCTTCTCCTTTTGTACTGTGTTGTGCTTGCTGTCTCTCAGATCCTTAAAGACTGTCTTTTTAGCAAAAAAAAAAAAAAAAAGAATTTCAGTAAAGTGTTTTCTGTAATCTTTTTTTAAAATGAGAACTAATTATTGTCCATAACTTGTAGCATTCTTCATTAAAGTCTTGCTTCTCTCAAATTTAAGTAGCTGTTTAATTGCAGCTGAAAAAGCGGAAGTAGCAAAATGCTGAACAAGCTTTGGTAAACCCTGCTGTCTGTATTAAGAAACTAATGTCAAACTGTATTGAATGTTCTAATCCTTAGAAGCTGTGCCGTACAGACATGTGGAAGTTCCTTCTTAATCTGTCTCATTTCTTCATATACTATACCTCTGAGGACAAAAGAATTCCCTTTTGTCCATTTCTCTTCACAAATGTTAAAGTTTAAAAAGTCATCCTGTAGTTAAAATTTGGAAACTTTGTACAGCTTTATTACCTATTAACTACATGTTCGGGGGTTTGGTACTGCTGTTTTTCTAAGTTAACCCCAAATTAAACTAGTGAGAAGGTGAGAACTTGATCTCCACTTGATGTGGTGGTAGCTAGTTGTGGTCTCCCTCCAGACCAAGCTTTAGGATCCAGTAGCTTCTTTATTTTCAACACACATTGTTAGATGGCACACTCTAAGTAAAAGAGTGACACTGGGATATACTTAAGGAAGCAAAATATTCCAGTAAGTGTTTCTCCAATTTGAGAAATGCATAGATCCACTAGCCCCCTCCCCCTTTTTAATATAACTTCAGTGTTATTTTTTACTATAATGTTATGGAATGTGTACGGAAAAACCTCTGCCTATAGTTTCTATGGAACTAGACAACTTACCATGAACTGATGGCTGTTTTGGTGAATGTCACTGCTTACCACATATTGGTGAGCAGTGTTAGGACTGGGGCAGTGGTGGGACTCCAGTGGAGGTGCCGGTGTCACTGTGTCACTGGGAAACGATCCCACTGTCTCCTACCTTCACCTTAGCGACACTGCAGCCACTGTGCCTCCAGATTGCTGTGATGTCATCTGGCCTTTGCTGGAACTGAACATAATTATGAAGTGCATTCTTCATAACAGCACATACTTGGTGACTGTTAAAAGTATTACCACTCGGAGTCATTGTGATGCATTCTGAGGCAATACTTGGTTAGAAGGTACTCATGCTTAAGATGATGGCGGAGATAAAAACATGTACACTCTGCCAGAACTCAAAGACTGACAGACACACTGTGCTGAGGGGTAAGAGTGTGAGGCCCACTCTGGGCCCCAGCTGTGCCTATAGATGGTGAGTTAGACATTGGACTCTTCAAATGAAATGGATGTCCATTTCATTTCTAATGTAGTAGATAATGGTACTTCCCTTGTAGGCTGATGTGAGAATAAGATGCAGGTAAATCTCTCCTCCGTGAAGACAGTGGGTGTTCAGTCAGTCTTTTTCCCCCTGTGGGTGCTAAAGAAGCCACAGATAAAAGAAGACATATCAAGTGTTTGAACAACGTAACAGTCTTTCAGTGGGTTTTGGATAGCTTTAGGTGACTGTTATCATTCAAGTGGATGGTAGCAGAATGAGGAGGGCTATCTGTGGAGGAGTTTGACCACTGTCTCTCACTCACTCTTCATCCATTTAAATGTTTCTACACACTTCCATGCTGTGCTTTGCTCTCCTATGCTATAGCACTGGGCAGAAAGAAGTCCAATGAAACAGGTTTTGCCCCTTGTATCTTACAGGAGCAATAGGTATCATCTAGCAATTTGATTGGAGAAGGAAATGGCAACCCACTCCAGTATTCTTGCCTGGAGAATCCCAGGGACAGAGGAGCCTGGTGGGCTGCTGTCTATGGGGTCACACAGTCGGACACGACTGAAGTGACTTAGCAGCAGCAATTTGATATGAATAAAAAAAAATCTCCCAGTGACTGTGCACTAAGAAATAAGTCCATACATTCAGATAGTTGGAAATAAACCTGCTTAATGTTTATTCCCAACAGGTAAAAACTGAAAAATGACAGCCCAAACGAAGGGTGGAAATCGCTCTTCTGAAGTAATAGATTCTATGTAGAAACCTGTTAAATAGATTTGGTAAGCCACTGAGTTTTTGAAGTTAAAGCAAAAATTCTTCCTGTGAGCCAAACGTGGGGTCTCATGCCAGTTCTATTCTGGAATATCTTATGTGTGGCCCTGAGACTGTCCTAAGTGTTACTTGTGAAGTTAATCATTATCCCAGCAGTTGTCTAAATTGCTTGATTCCGTGCTTGGTTCGATAGCACATATACTAAATTGCTTGATTCCACTGGGCTGCACACACAGGAGTCTCCAGAGAGCAGCATGTTCCCTTTGCTCTTTGGGGCTGGACTGGTGGTTCTGAACCTAGTGAGCTCTGCTAGGAGCCAGAAGACAGAACCCCTTAGTAGCAATGGGGACCAGCCCCTCTTCCGTGGAGCAGATCGACACGACTTTTCCATTGTGATCCCTCCAGGAGGCACAGAATGCTTCTGGCAATTTGCCCACCAGACTGGCTACTTCTATTTCAGTTACGAGGTGGGTACGTGGTGATACTGGGGACTTGTTTTTCTTGTTTGTTCATTTCCTTTTATAAAGGGGGTCAGGTTTCAAATAAACACAAGGTTCTAGTCGTCTTTATTATGCTGTGACTCCCCACCTGTTAATGAAATGGGTCTGCAGTTAAATGGAAACTCTTGAATAATCACTAAAACATATGGCTTGGCTTCTCAAATTGGGGGCTGTGGCAGTGTGCCCGAAATCATGGGACAAACTGGGTGCCTCTTCCTGGAGAGGTGATCATCACATTTATTTGAATTTGATGAGGGGAAAGAAAGAGTCCATTTTTTAAATATTATAATAATATGGATATGGTACCAAGCTGAATGAAAAAAATCCCATGGACTTTGGAGACAGACCCAGAGATTTCAAAGACGCTTCAGTTTATGAAGTTGGGGGAACAATATTACTCTCTTGCCTTTAGGGGTAATTCCAGCAAATTGAAGAATCACTGACTCAAGGTTTCTCTATGTAGTCAGTCCTGTTGCTTAAATACTTTAAGCCAAGTACTTTAATCCATACTGTGCCCAAGGATGGTCTGCTCAACCGCAACTTAGAAGCTGTTCATTTCCTTTGTTCTTTATCTTGGAAACCTATTAACTTTCTAAATTTTGTCTACATATTAAAAAACAATATTGATCTTATTCCAATGTAACTTAAAATTCATTTTATACTAACTCATCAGAGGTTTTCCTTCTCTCTCAATTGGTAATAGAATAGTGGCTACCACACAGCTCACAGCCTGGGCTTATCGAGACCCAGCATGCAGACAAGTACCTACTGAATGCCTTACCTGCTGTCAAGTATCAGATAAGCCCAAGTCTGGTATACCACTGGGGAGGTCAAAACCAAGTGAGTTCAGCCAAGAACTACATGGCCAGATTCAAGGTCTGAGACATGTTTTCTCACCAGGGGTGCTATTGGCATTTTGGACAATTCTCTGTCTTGCTTACTGCTTCTAACATGGCAGGATGTTTAGCATTGCTGCCTCCCTGCCCTCCCCTACTCGCACACATCATTGCGAAACCTCAACCCAAATGCAAGGTGGGGGTTGGGCAGTACCATCCCTGACTCAGAACCACTGTGCTGATGGTCACTGGATGTCAAATCTTACCATTCAGTTAGCTTCCTGACGATGTAGCAAGCGCTTTTCTCCCTCTTTAATGTGTCTCGGCAGGTTCAGCGGACACTAGGAATGTCACATGACCGGCATGTTGCTGCCACTGCACATACCCCACAGGGTTTCCTTATACAGACCTCTAAGAATGTTCGGGGCCAGATTAACTTCTCGACCCACGAGACAGGTCTGTTTTCATTCTCACAGCTATTGTAATAATCATGTATTTCTTTGAAATTGGGAAAATAATGAGGAAACATTGAAATTAGTAAGTACTGAGATGCAAAAGCCCTGACTTTTCCACATATGGATGGTGAAACCGTAGGGAAAAAAAATTAAACCTTGAACACCAGAAACCAGATTTCCTGTAGACTGCCAGTGGCCAAGGACATTAATCAGATGTCCTTGATTAGGCTCCAGAAGCTTGATTTTATCTCTTCATCTCCAGCGAACCAGATTATGGGAAAG